GATTGAACAGGGCAATAGATACTCCTGCTGCTGCAAGTTCCACAGGACCTATACAACCCCAAATTCATGTTTTTAAGTTACTCCACTTGAAACAAATATCACTCCTAATGTGAGTTCATAACCGTATATTTCGATATCATACTATCTAGTGAATATTTCCAAACACCATACTATTGTAACTTATTGTGAACATGCAGACATAAATATGAACAAAACTGTCCTAAAAATTGAATCCTCCAAATTTAAGTGCTTCAAAACATGAAGAAAGCAAAAGCAAGCGTATGTACCTATGTGACCTATGAATGCCGTGTCAATCAAAGAAGCGACAGGATCAGCAGCTACAGCCAAAGCAGCAGGGAATGCAATCTCTAGTATCTCCTTACCAAGAATATCCCACTTGAAAACCCGCCTGCAATGAATTAATTCAAAGAAACCATATACTAATAGCAATGAGAAAGGAAGGCCCTATCAACCTTAATTTGAGACAGTGAAGGCTGCCCATAGAGCAGTAAATTAGAGAGAGAGCAAAGCACTAATTAAACATTGTAGAATTGAAACTGTACCTTGCATCTTTGAAGAAAACACCAACAGGTAACTTCCACTTGCTCACTGATTCATGCAAATTTTGCTCCTCAGCCATGTTTAAGTTGATACTGCAAGTTCAAAATGTTTCTGATGTGGTCAATTCAACTGAGCTTTTGATGTCACTTTAAACATGCAGCTCTCACAAACTACGCTCAATTTAACTCATGTACCAAATGAAGTGCTCAGTTTAACAGAGAAGAAAAACAAAACAAAACAAAACAAAAAAAGAGGAAAATATACCCTTCTATGTAAAATGAACTGTCAAATAAATTTGAGTTCAAGTTATATCAATGGCGATATCTCAGGAGTCGCTCAGATGTTGAAGAAGCTAAAATGCTAGCGCCTGAGAATTAACGCCAGGAGGGTGACACAAAGACACTACAAGTTGAGGGGAGATTTATAGTTGCATGACTTGGGGTCGGTGATAATAGAACCTTCCTCAGTTATGATGTTTTGTAGACTCATCAATCAATACAAGCCTTTAACATGATTGTTTTTTGCTTAAAAAAAAGTACCAAAACTTTTGCGAGAAATTCAAAGTTGGTGCAAATGACCTGCTAAACTTTGCTTGGAATGCGTGGGCAAGACACGTTGTGTGAATTGTGTGCTCTCTTACTAACTAACTATGTTAGACCATTGCTATGTGAGGAACGAAAGGTAAAATCGGGTTTTAATTTAAGAACTATTGTTATATTTTAGCATTTTTCTTTAAATGGATTTTTTTTTCTTTTCCCATTTGTTTATGCTTGTACCAAATTTCCATTAAATAAAAATTTTTATAACTCGTATTAAAAAGGAAAATTTCTCTTATCAAATAGTTTACTATGTTCTATAATTTAAATCGAACTGACAACTTAAATTTAGTATGTAATTTTGCTAGACTGTGAATTTCAACCTTTCAATCTAGACAAAAATTGATAAGTTGACAAGTAACATTCCAAATGTCTTGGACAAGAAAAACATCCAATGCTTAAAAAGCCTAATATGCGATTTTATATTCTCCATAGGATTGCAATAACCGCAGCATAATATAGGTCCTATTGAAAGAACAAAAAAACCAAACAAACAAACAAAGGTTCCTGATATTTTCCTACCCACATAAAAGCATTATATATGTGTGTATATATATAATATTGGCATGTAATCAACATATAAATGGGTGAAGCTTTGGACTAAAAGTGTTTCCATTTGCCAATGCCATTTGGCTAAATGGGATTAGGCAAGGACAAAAATTAGTATAAATAAACCTGTAAGTTAAGGAAGGAGAACAATGGCTAACACACAATGTAGAAGGGGAAGGGACAAGGTAGGTGTGACCAAACTTGGATACTGCATATATACCTCCCTTGGGTTTTCAATCCCCTGATAGCACCACGAGCATTACGGCAGGTGTCTTCTAATATCGAGTGCAAACAAAACTTAATTCTTATTTATCAGTCAAAATAAATCACACAAAAAGATCATAGAGAGAGAGAGAGAGAGAGAGTGACATGTCTGTGCGAAGCTTGCTTGAAAAGAAGATTCGACCAGTGTCTTTTAAATGGGACTGGTTTAATTCTTAATGGAGGGCTACGGACTAGGTGATGGGTATGATTTTTGTCCTATTTCTAAAAGCTTAAACTTTTAAGATATGCGAGAGACTGTCACTTAATGGTTAAGTTTGATTCTCTCCTTCTTTAATTTGAAAAAAAAAAAAAAAAAAAATTTATTTAAAAAAAAAAAAAAAAAAAAAAAAAAAAAAAAAAAAAAAAAATATATATAATTCATTTTTATGTCTTTCTCATTTCTTTCCTCATTATATCATTAATGTTAGTCGAAACTGAGATCTCCTCAAACTAAGAAAAATAACTACCATTAAACCAAATACTAGTTGATATTATATCTAGTATTAAAATTCCCTCAGTCCAAGTGAGGTACTCTTAATACAAGTCAGAATCAAACTTCGAGAACAGAAGAACTAACTTTATATAATAACCAATACATCGACAAAATAGAATGGCAAAAAAAACCATGTTCATAAAAAGGAGTGAAACGAATTAAGGAGAGGTTTAGATGGATCTTTGGGAAGACATGAAAAAAACAGGATTCAAAATGATCACATGATCATTAGGAGAGGGTTACAGCTACCCACAAAACTTGCATCCTTCATGGCTCTACCACCAGAGTTATAAACCCCAAACTTCATTAACTAGTTCAGATGAACATTCATTGAATCTATTGGTTAGCTCATAAGTATTTTTAAAAAAAAATATAAGCAATATTGGAAGAGGGGAAATCGAACCTAAGACTTGAAATGCAAAGATAAATGCTCTTAATCACTTGAGCTATAAATCTCTTGTCCTCAGCTTTATTTTTTTGAGAATCGCACTTAGCTTTATAAGTGTGGTAACATATTTTTATCAGTCATCATTATCCTTTAAACCCAAAGCTTTTAGTAATTTTTATTCCCAATTGCATCACGCTTATCTAAACTTTTACCAATTAGACACCAGCTGAAAGGAAATATAATGCATAAGGTGCCAATTAAAAGTTGCACGTGAAAAGAAAAACAAACAAGTTAGTACGATGATTTGTTTTAAAACAAATTTGTTTACATACAAATTACAATTATGAGTGCCCCTTCAAAAACATAGTAAAGGCAGCCAATTTTAATAAAGAAGTATTTATATATATATTTATTTAAAATTTTCAGAATTGTCATTTAAGCAAATTATCACAATATTATACAATAAATATTCTTTCAAGAAAAAAAATACTGTATGTGGAGTGGTGGATTTCGTCAAGCATGTGAGTAGTGGGATCTGCATAAGCAAGAAAAAAACAAAAAGATCGCAGCATTGTGATTGGGGATTTAGTTGGAGACACGTGGCTCATCCTTAGAGGTCACGAGAACTAATTGACAACTCTGTCACCCTGAGGAGACTGGAAAGAGGGCCTACAAACATTTTTAATCACCATTGACGACAGTGACATAAACCAAATAATTCCGTACTTGACGGCCCAGTACGGGATTCGTAGGTTCCAATAGTGTGGGGAGCGCTTGTGTATTAGTGGGCCCACAAAAAAAAAGACACGGAGGAAGCCCATTGTGGAAGGCCCATTATGGGAGAGCACGAGGAGCATCCAAATCCACTTCAATAAAACTTCGGGTTAAATTGTTGCGAGGCTTTAGTATAAGTTTCGTCCCAAAAAAAGAAAAAGATTTTTCTTAAGTTAATTCTAACATCAATTTTGACAAGAGTCTTACACATATTTGACGAAATGCATTTGAACCATCAGGTAATAACAGTGGATAAATCTTTTTTTGTTAGAGTTTGACGCAATGCATCCGATACGTACTTAAGAATCATGGAGAAAAATAAGTCACGATATCGATGAATTTTCAGGTAATGTATATATTAAATAAAAAAAGGTGCATGTACGCACAAACATGTATTATGAGAAGCATGCATGCACAGAAGAGGAAGAAGTTGAAAGCAAGAAATATACCAAATAAAGTAAGAGTTGTAGACTGAAAGGCAAGGAAAGGAGAGCTTATCTTTTGCAAGAAACTTGCATACCTTTGCGCTTATTGTTCTTTGTGCTGAGAGAGAGAGAGAGACAGAGACAGAGAGACAGAGAGAGAGAGAGAGAGAGAGCAATTGCAAATCGAGCTCTTTTCACCAACTTCTTTTTGCACACTTGTACACAGAGCCCTGCCTACGCTTTATAAGTACTCTTCCTTCATTTCTCTTATCTCTCCCAAATTAATAAAATATGGGTATATTGCTTAACCCACACACGCACACACGCAGACTCAGAGAGAGAGAGAGAGAGAGAGAGAGAGAGAGAAACAAGGAAAAAGCTTTAGATTGAATATTGACTTGAATGAAGCTTTAGAATTTGGCCAAGGATTTGCATAAATTCAGAGGGGGGCTCACGGATATTCTGAAAGGTGGACAGTCCACCATGGAACGTAAGTTATAAAGTATTTATGGATTTTTCTATATATGATTTGTCCTACTTTGTGATGCAAAATGAAGTGCTGGTAACAATAAAACCTTTTTTTCCCCAATGGGGGCTACGTAGGATTCCCAATATCTCCCATGCCTGAATTTCATTTCCTCGTGAGTCGTGACCTACTTTTTTCAAACCGGCTGCACATTATGAGCCATGCATATATGATTGGTTAATTCATCAACTAGGTTAATCAATGTACTTTGTTTTTTTTTCTTTTTAGATCCAAGTCTAACAAATTTGGTTTCTATTAGGTTTAACCCAGATCTTTTCTTTTGTTGATCTAGACCCATTAGCATTTATACCTCATTTTTTATTGCCCGTTTTGCCCCTTGAAATATATGTGGCAAAAAAATGAAAATCCTAAATTATTGCATCTTTTACTACTCAAAATTTGAATTATGAACTTTGTATTGTTTTCATAACCCACCTACAACAAGAAAAAATTCATTAAAAAAATTGTTTACTTTTATAATAGGTAAACACGTACCAAACATGGGAAATCACCTCTTTTCCATGAAACAAATGTATCCTAAAAAGAGAAGAAAAAAAATCAATATATACAAAAAATTGGCATTTAGAAATATGTTTATTAGTCTATTCATTAAAGATATTGATTTTAAATTATTACTTTTAATAAACTTAAGGAATTTACCAAGGAATATTATTGGCTATGTAGCACAGACACGACACCAACCTCAAATGTTGGAGTGTTGGACACTCGCACACTCCAATACGACACGGCACTAACATGCCTTGGACACACATTGGACACGGTCAAGACATTGCCTGGACATAATCAAGACACTCCTTGACACGGGTCAACTTATGATCCATACACTGTAGGAGACACTAATTGTTATGTTTAGAAATCTGAGCATGTTTTAAAATGTTTTAGAACTCTATTATTTTATACCCAGATGATGCGGTGTTGGAGTTGCAAAGGCAGCGGCAGGAAGATGATGTGCATATGATGCCCTAGCAAAGATGATATCCATCCTTTTAGTGAAACGGTGAGTTTTACTAATTGGATGGGGAAAAATATCTCACTTGGGCCTGTGTACCTCAACTCAACTAGGGTTGGGCATTCAAATCGGTAATCCGGTCAAACCACCCAAATTAAACCGATGATTTGGGTTGGTTTGGTTTTTTTCAATGTTTTTTTGGTCATCGGTTAGAATCCAAACCAAACCTAAATATATAGTTCTGTGTACGTTTTGCAATATTCAAAACCACGATTTAACCAAACCAAACCAATGGTATTAAAAAAATTTATTATATATAATATTATTATAAGAGAGAGATATATATATACATACAGATAATACATAGTTTCAATCTTTTCTTTTTCTTCTCTCTCCATCTCTCTATTTGTCTTGTCTCCATTAGTCCCTCTCTCTCTATTTTTTTTCTCCTTCTTCTTACGTCTATCTTCACTCCCTCTCCCCGTCTCCCTCCTTTTTTTTTCCTTCTTCTCTCTATCTTCTTTTTCTCCTCTTCTTCTTCTTCTTCTTCTTCTCCATCTCTCCCTCTTTTTTTCTTCTTCTTCTCCTCTCCATCTCTCCCTGCTCTACATCGCTTTTATTTCTCTCTCTTTCTTCTCCTCTCCATCTTTCCCTGATCTACATTGCTTTTATTTCTCTATCTCTCTCTCTCAGACAGCTAAAAGACCCAAACTAAACCAAACCAACCCACCAAGTCCGATTGACCGAAGGGTCGATTTTCATCAATTATGGTTTTATTTCGGTTTCCAAAATAGACAAACCGAGACTTACGATTCGGTGTTTGGGTTGAACCCAAAACCGAACCAACCCAGACCGAGCCCACCCCTAAACCTAACAATCTATTTGCTATTTAAATTATTTAAAATATATATATAATTAACGTGCTAAATTAACAATAATTTATAGAAATTAATAAACTACATTTGAAAGGCTTGGAAAGTTTAAATTTCACTATACATGATTTTATGAAATTGAAGTATGAACATAAATATTTCTTTTAATGCCATGTCCGTGTTTTATTTTTTTGATATTTTCTGTATCTACGTATCCCGTGTCATATATCCGTATATACGCAACATTATTAGAGGTAATATGGGCATTTAGAAAAGTTCAAATATCCCATTCGAAAAATGAGCTGACTTGTCAGCATTGTGAACTTTTTTGAGGTAGACCCTGACACGACACTTGAATATGGTGTATAAGTAGTTAACATTAAAAATGAAAAATCCATATTTACCCAATAAATGGCATTTAGAAATATATTGATTAGGATTTTTTTTTCATTTTTTTTAAGGACATTTCCTATTGAAAGGAGCAATAATATACTAACTTCACACACACACTACACGCAGTGGTAGATCCATCATGGGGTCAATGGGGTCAGACGATGCCATGGCAGTCTTAGAAATGGCTTGGAGGTCCTTAGTTTTTTTGGCAGCCATGGGAGACGACCCATGGAGAAGAAGATGCAAACTCTCAGGGAGAAGAAAGAGAGAGAGAGAGAGAGAGAGAGGGGAGGAAGAAGAAGATAGTGGTTGAGAGGGAGACGAAAAGAGAGGAGGGGAGGAAGAAGAAGATGACTGAGAGGGAGAAGAAAGAAGCACCGACACAAATTTAAAAAAAGGAAGATATTTGTTAGGGTTTTTTAAATATTTTTTAAAATTTTGTTGGGTAGACCTATAAATACTAAACGTATACATCAATAGCATAAAGATATCACTTACCATAGTGGTCTTTGAATTGAAAAGGACCCTAAGGTCGATGATTTAACACTCATTGTGCTCCTTTCTTTTTGTAATGTTCAAGGTATTTTATTATTTGGGTTATTTTTAGGTAAGTTTATCTATTATTTGGGTTGATGTTATTATTTACATAATATATATATGAGCTTGATTTATTGAATGATGTTTTTGTTAATTGGAATAAGTTTGGTGTGTTTTTTAATTGTAATTTTTTTTTGCATTGTTTCATCTTAAAAAGAAAATTGGAACTTCAACACTATGACCCCATAGAATAATAATCCTGGATCCACCACTGACTACATGGATGCTAGGATTCGAACTCATGACCGTTCTTGAGAGAACAATTACTCCAAACCATTACACTAGCGGATCCTATGTCGGTTATTTGTTAGATACAAAGACGGCGGGCTCCCTGCCCACACTGTAACTTGTCTAATTTACATCTGCAGTTTAATTGATTTTAATTATTTATGTAATAGCCAATGACGTACCAGATATCTTCACAACAAAAACAAACAATTTCCATTAAGTATATTGTCTTACGGAAACAATGTGCATAGACTCTGCTTGATGGTCGTCATCATTCGTCTTAACATTTATAAAACTCACCACTACAACGACCAGAAGTGGTGTTCACAGAGAATTAGTACTCGACTTGTTTACTGAGAGAGAGAGAGAGAGAGAGAGAAATTGTTAGTCTAGATGGAATTATATAGAAGAGACATCCCGTCCCATGATGTATTTGTTAATTTTATCTCAAAAGCCTGCTTTCTAGCTACTTTACAAAGTGACAAAATACTTTATTTCTAGGACCACCAACTAAGATTGGAGTGAAATTAATGGGGGGACCCAACACATTTATGTTTGCATGCAACTGTAAAGATAAGTTATTATATAAACATTGCTACATGTCCACAAATACTTTTTCTAGCTACTCTCTCTTCTGTGTGCGTGTGAATTTTTATTTTTTGTTCTCTTCAATGGGTTAAAGGTCCATTCAGAAATTGTAAAACATCTCGGAAATGCCTCTAGTTTAAATTAGCGCTTGTATTAAAAAAAATATACATTTCAGAAATAAATAATAACTTACTAATTTTCAAGTGTATTCGGACGAAAAAGTTCTATACTTTTAGACCTAAGCTAGAAACATATTGGCACGAAAGTGAGGCACAATGTAATCATAAAATTTAGAAAAGCAGTCCACTTTCGTGTGGAAGCCACGATACCACCACACTAGACTTGATTAAACTAACAAGAGTGCATTCAACTTTCGCGTGGAAGACACAATGTTGCCATTTCCAGTACATTGAAAAGATTAAACCCACTCACTCACATATATCTAACTTCCTACTACATGATTTAGCACGATTTATGTTCCCACATATATATATATATATATATATATATATATATATATATATATATATAGCTTCTAGGTAAAGGACAACATTTTGGAAAAGCAAAACCCCTTTGTCCATTGATGCTAACCACCGATGGAGTTCAGCATGGGCGACTTCTCATTATATTGGAAGATGGAAGTTTTGTAATAGTGTTTAAATAGATTTTGAGTTGAATTGTCCATTTTTAAGAACAATTTTGATCCAATTGATTGGATGATCAATTTTTCAATCATTGAAATGAAAATGAAACGCTTCAAATCTAGTGCAATCACACATTCTAATTGATGAAAATATAAAATTTAAATTAAATGCTAAAAAATTTGTTTCTAGAACATACTAAGCATAATTATGTCAAATGGCTTAAGTTATTCATAATTTATGCACTTTCTAATGCCTTTAAGAATAGAAGAGCATGAAACCAAAACAAACTAGATTAGGTGGGATTTGAATTTGAATTTAAATATCCAATTTAATCATGTCGGTTTTAAAATTTAGAAATCTAATCCAACTTCATCGTTTGTTGAATTTAGAGATTCAATCCAATACACTAAAGTTATCCAAACTGATCATGATTTAATATTGGATTGAATAGGTTAAGAGTTTGATTTGTTTGAGTGTAATCAACAGATATTTGAAATGAAAAACAAAGGTCTCCTCCTTTGTGAATTCCAAAGCAAAACTCCATAGAGGGGGAGGAGGAAGAAGCATCACCTCCCCTCCTTCTCCTCCTCTCTTCTGGCTTTTTTCTTTTAGGTTAGTGAATAAGTTGAGATTACTTGTAGGATGACTAAAAATGCCTAGAGGGGTGTGAATATGCTAGTTCGAGATTATTAACAATAAATAAAAATAGATTATCGAATCAGGATTGATATGGATTATCAATCCTAAAATGTGCAGAGCTTAAAGTAAAGGAACACGCAGATATTTATTTTACGTAGTAAAACCCCACCTCTGGGGAAAATACACGGGACTCCTCAATCCAAAACAAATCCACTATAGAATGAAGATTACAAGTACTCATACACTTCTCCTAGACGCAATCTAGATAAAGTTTACTGACTTTTTCGTAACTCAACTTTTGTCATGAGATGATTTTCGACACTCCTTATGTTGAACGCAATACTGGTCGCGATTGCTTCAAACTCGCCAGAGGATAAACGCCACAACGGTCTTGGTGCCCCCAACCGTATGATTCACCAACATGCATATGAATTATGAAAGAATTTGATAAATCAACAAGTAAAACAACGAACACTTGATGACTTATCTGAACAATATGCACAACAGCTTTTTCTTGAAAATTCAGTATGCTCAAAAACCAATATGACGAAAGCTCTATTTGTCAAAAAGATAGGCACACTTGTTTTTGTTCCAAACTAATTCTCCCTAGTCCGACAGTGACATGAGAGTCCACAAACTCTCTTCAATTATGACTCTCTAGTTTTAATCCAATATGGGCTCAAGTTAAAGACGTCAAAACAGGACCACAGATATTATTCAATTATGACTATTAGTTCTGATTCAATATGGACTCTAAGTGGTGACACCAAACAGCCACTCTTTTGTGGAGAAACAATATCTCCTAAAAAAAGTTAATTAGGAGATGAGCACCGTGCATGTCACTATAGGATACGCTAATATTTTAACTTAAATCACAATGGCATTGAAAATAACTTCAACTATGAATCCTATTGTGAATGCATGATTATGTCATGATTTACCTGAAATCAAGTTTCTCGTATCGATCAAGTCATGCTTCGAACCGAGATTGAATGTGCTACACCAAAACTTCCAGTAAACACTATCACACACTAATTCCCAACCTATGCTAGAGTCTAAGAAATGCCAATAC